TTTTAATAAATAATTTTGTGATAAACTTTTAATGAATTTTTGTTGAATAGTTATTGAATTTTTGACAAATTTTTTGTCAAATTTTTAATTAATAAATTTTTGATTGCTAAATTTTTTGATTGTCAAATTTTTAATTGCTGAATTTTTGATCGCTGAATTTTTGATTGTCGAGTTTTTGATTGTTGAATTTTTGCTTGCTGAATTTTTGATTTGTGAATTTTTAATTGCTGAATTTTTAATTGCTACTTTATTCCAAAATGTAATATGCCGAGTGGCAGCAATTGAAAAGAATTCGGCAATATTTTTATTATTAAATTTAATCAAATTCGACAATAATTCAGCTCCAAATGACATAATTTCAACTAGTGTAAAAAACAAAACCTCTATCTCCATATTATGTCCAGCTTTGAAAGGTGATACTCTACAAGTTGGTTCTTTTATTTCCTAGAATCTTCTTGCTTTTAGTAAAGGAAGTACATGCTTGAGTTTATTCAGGTTACCAGAGGTTCAAGTTTTTATGCAAAGAAATTTGTAAATAAGTAGGAGAGAGTAATAGTGACTCTTGAAGACAAGCTTCAAGTTGCTTTAAAGAAAACAAGAAGACTTTATTAGCCAAGAAGAATAAAAACTTCTTGTGAATATCTTTTTTGTGTATGATCAAAGGATTAGTGAAAAGAGTTATTGTGTGATCTGTATTATAAGTTATATATTATTTTCTAACAAATTATATATAAAACTATATTTAAAAGTTAAATTTATATATACTTGTAAAATTTGTGTATAATATAAATTTTTTTAAATTAAAATAAAAATATAAAATAATAATAATAATAATAGCTATAAAATAGTCTTAGTAAAATTAATTTAAAGGTATTTAAGTATTTATATTTTAAGTTTGATTTAATTTATACAATTCTTTATTAAATTAAATATATTTAAAAAAAAAGCAATTTGTTTTGTCCCCTACTGTATATATTGTATATATACAATACGGTATATACCGCACGCATTCCTAAAATTTTTTTTGATTTGCATTATCTTTGTGTTACTGGTGAAATTCTTGATTAATTAAAGAACATTTGTTTTTACGTTAATTACCATGAACACTTGCTAATTCATTCATAATTAAGATTTTTTTTCTTGTACTATATAACCAATATAACCTCAATCGGAGAACATTAACCGATGGCGTAAGATATTGGCAGAAAAGGTTTCACGGTAATAACAAGGAAACGCTCATTGTCGTACATGTAAAAACATAGTGCGACAAGATATAGAAATATTTAAAAATATTCGAACTCCACACCATAAAATGATTTTCAAATAAGAATAATAATCTGAATCTTTGGATTTGATTAAATAAATCTCTTTCTTATTTATAATTTGAGTGATTAATTAAACATCGAATCTCAATATTACCATTATTTCTACATAATGCCTCAGTTCGATGATGGAATTAATGTGTTGGAAGAAGAAATCAACAATAACGAAAACAATAACCCCACGGGGATAATAGGAACAATGAATGGGTTATGGATGAACGTTAACACTATGGTTGGAAGTGGTAGATATTTGCAGAGTCGGAAATTCAATGATTTTATTTGGGTTAAAGCTATTCATTGGTAGGAATATTTTCTACGCCCGGCCTTGTTTGGTACCTGACAGGGAATGGGGGGATGACATTGTTGCTATATATCATTGGTTCACTCTTTTCTTTGCTTGGAAGTTTTATATACTTTGAGGTGAGTTGGCTTCACCGGCCTTACAATTCATTATGTACATAACTATAATTATTATGCGATATCTATTTTAGCTCGGCAGCAAAATACCCTATTCAGGTAATTGAAATTAGATTTTCACTTGCAAATTACCTTTACCTTTACATAATAACAATAAAATTATTTTTCCTTCGAAAAAAAAGGTGGCGAACAAAAATAACTTGAACGATCGTTTCCGAGGCCACATAAAATTGCGGGATATCTATTTAGTTTCTGCATGATCACGTGAGAAATTATATTATACTATTTTGCGCATTTTACTTACGTATTTTTTACAAACTAATTGAATCTAACAGACTTATGGGAAGCGGTGGTATAGTGATAGATTCCATAATTGCGTCTGAATATCTGGTGTATGCGGCGTCCAATAACTACACCATCGCATATGCGAATACCACCACAACTTTACATCCCAAAAATTATGTAAAGGATAGCCAATTTTGGGATATTCGCGCGATAGCATTTGCCATCCTAACTATAGTGACTTTATATCACGTGTTCTCGAGCTGGCTAGCCAAATGGATAAATATGGCACTGGCCTTTGTGAAGTTAATAACATTATTATTGATATCCTTTATCGGATTGGTAAAGATAAAGGAAAATCCGAACCGATTAAGTTGGAACATTCTGTTCTCGGGAACACCCGGATGGAGTAATTTTGGCAATTATTGTCATGCCATGTTGCAAGTCCTATTTTCTTACGCGGGGTGGAATAACCTTAATTGTAAATTTCGTAATTACTATCATTATTGTTATTCTATTCATTAAATTTGAGATTTTAATTTGTTAGATTCATTGGGCGAAATGGATAATCCGTCATACAGGTTAAAAATTTCGAATCCCTTCAGCGTAATCATAGTGAGCATGCTATGTAAGAAATTATTATTATATTATTATCATTGAATGCGCGGTTATTCAATAATTTTAATAATTCCCTCTTTTTAGATATTCTTGCTATTCTTTCCTTTATAGCAATAATAGATCCTCAGGATGGTTACGATGGAGTTTTTAAAGAGGTCATGAGTGCAAAACTTGGTGATGCGATTCACCTAGGAAGATTTGTTTCGGTGTTGGTTGCGTTCTCTTCTATAGGCGCTGTTGGGGCAATGGTCTGGAGTGGTGCTAGGGTTCTTGCCTCCGCTGCGAAAAGTAACTTTATTCCTCGCATTTCTCAGAATTTAAAGAATTTTAGTAAAATTGAATGCCTTTTTCACATCCTTCCTCAAATATTCCCTTCAACGTTGTCTCATGATACCCCAATTAACGCATTAATTGCTCAATGGGTTTATTGTTCATTATTTGTTTTCTTCTTTCCAACAAGTAATCCTTATGAAGTACTTGTAACGATGACCTCATACCTAGCTCTCATATTCTACTGTTTTAGTGCAATTGGATTATTGGTATGGCATTATTTCATATACAGTATATCAATATTTAAATTGATTAACTTAATCATATCGCAACAACCAAATAATTTTCTTTTTTTTTAAAAAAAAAATAGATCCTAAGGAAATACCCAGAAGAGTTCGGAGAACCGTTTGTTCCTGAATTACTAATTTGGATATTTATTTTAGTAACAGTTCTTATCTGTGTCGGAGCTTTCTTTCCGCCACTAATTCATGATTCAACTTATTACATACGATATTTACTTTCTTATGCTTTATTGATTATTGGTCTTATTTTTTGGTTTTTCTACAAAGAAAATATTAATGAAGAAGATTAAAGAGCTACGCCTTTGTAAATTACGTACTTTGTCATTATTGTATAAGAGTCTAAATAAACTATAATCCGTTTTAATTCCACGTGTATAGGCATCATGGTTTTGCTTATTACGTAACCCTTAGGAATCATTAACTGTTAGATACATACCTTGCTGCAGAATTTAGTCAACGGTTTCAAATTTCTAAACACATTTGCAACCACATGTCTATAAGTCAATAAAAATATCTATAATAGGCTTAATATAAACCTTTGCAACTTTATTGTTTCGCTGTAGCTGCTTGCAAAGTTATCTCTTTTTCTTCGCAATATTTGTTCAGATTTAGTTGATAGAATATTGTAGTAATGTTTCTGTATCTAAGGACGAAAATCGACACGTCGGGACACTACTCACATATTGTTTCTTCATTCAGTTGTTATAAATCATATAATAGCATATTTTCTTTTTTTA